GACAGGCAGTCTCCCTGCTAGTGGAAAATAAAAAAAATGTAAAAAAAAAGTTAACATTAATAAAAATATTATTATATATGTGTGTATATTGTAACGGACCGTTTTGCACACAAGAGGTTAAAAACCGTTTAGGCAATATTCCTTTTTCCACATCCCCCGACAGCTACTGTAAGCACCAATCTCCGAACTGCAAACTACACGAATACTGGAAACAGCCGAACAGGAAAAGTGGCAGGACACACTGCCGCTGGGGAGGAAGGACAACACCTTTGGCTCCCTGTAACACACACTGCCGCTGGGCAGTTATTCCCCCAATAACGAGACGACACTTCATTTTGAGGTCAAGCAGAACTGGTTTACTGGGGCTACCTGCCCGGCTTTTATGCAGGTCTCCCACCTGGTGGACACTCCCCTAGGGTGGGCTAGGCTGCTGCTGTGGATAGGGGGTAACAAGCTCCTCTCCCATACATACTTTCAGTCACTGGGGAGAGGGGATAACAAGCTCCTCTCCCTGACACTCTTTCTGCTGGTGGAAAGGGGAAACGACTGTCTCCCCTTTCGATATATTGTCCCGTGGTCGGGGACCGACTGTCTCTGCTCCCGGCAGGACACACTGCCACTGGAGAGGAAGGACAACACCTTCAGCTCCCTGTAACACACACTGCTGCTGGGCAGTTATTCCCCCAATAACGAGATGACACTTCGTTTTGAGGTCAAGCAGAACTGGTTTACTGGGGCTACCTGCCTGGCTTTTATGCAGGTCTTGATGGACACTACCCTAGGGGACCAGATGGAAGACTGGGACAATAAGGGTAAAAGGACCAATCACAAGCTTATACACTTTAACAATCCCACAATGCATCACAATCCCTCCTCTCTGGCCTGGAGATAATTGGGAAGTAATCCAATTATCGCTAAGGACAGAGGCAAAACTCCATTAACCACATGGCAGTAAAAGACATAAAATTACATACTGTTACATTCATCACATAGAACATACACATTCTACCTATCCCCAGATAGCTTAGATCTTAGAGCACATTATAACCAGATGGTGCTCAGATCACATGGTTACAGTTCAATCGCCATGGAGCCAAAGTCTTTCCCACAGTCTTTTGGTATACGAATGGGCTCCATGGCTTAGCCATCTTGGGTAACACTGCTCACATAGGGAAAATAAAAGGTTTTTAATGCAGGGCCATAGTCCAGCGGCAAGAAGTGGGCAACCAGGCTCCTCCAGTGGCCAGTGGCGAGGTTGGTTCCACCACATTTCTCCCCTTTACCAATCAGACCAACAGGGTATCTGACCTTCTGTCGGTCAGTGCCCTGGTTAGTCCAGCAACCCACCCACAGAACTCAATCAGCAGTACAGCCCACCCACAATAAAGGTTTACTACACTTGGGGTAATGAGTAGCTTGCCTTTGTCCAGGTGCTTCAACACTGCTGTGTGGGGTGCTGCTATTCCTGGTCGGTGGGTTGCTGAGTGGGCAGAGACCAGCTGCCCTGGTGCCAGCGCTATAACGGGAGTAGCCTGGTTGGAGCCCCGCTGAGGAGAAGGGGTAGTAAGCTGCCCTCTCTGGATCTGGTGCTGCTGGTGTAGGGGGAGACAGACTGTCTCCCCTTTGGGCAACCAGTCCTGCTGCTGGGGGACAGGACCGGCCGTCCCTACCCCCTGTGGTTTGGGCACAGAGACTATGGTCCCATCTGCACCAGTGTGGGGCTTATCATCTCCCCTTTGTGGGCTGGGCTACCGCTGTGGAGAGGGGGTAACAAGCTCCTCTCCCATACATACTTTCAGTCGCTAGGGAGAGGGATAACAAGCTCCTCTCCCTGACACTCTTTCTGCTGGTGGAGATGGGAAAAGACATAAAATTACATCCTGTTACATTCATCACATAGAACATACACATTCTACCTATCCCCAGATAGCTTAGATCTGAGCGCACATTATTACCGGATGATGCTCAGATCACATGCTAACAGTTCAATCGCCATGGAGCCAAAATCTTTCCCATAGTCTTTCGGTATACGAATGGGCTCCATGGCTTAGCTATCTGAGGTAACACTGCTCACATAGGGAAAATAAAAGGTTTTTAATGCAGGACCATAGTCCAGTGGCAAGAGGTGGCCAACCAGGCTCCTCCATGTATTATATCTATATAATATATGTCACATTATTACCGGATGATGCTCAGATCACATGCTAACAGTTCAATCGCCATGGAGCCAAAATCTTTCCCATAGTCTTTCGGTATACGAATGGGCTCCATGGCTTAGCTATCTGAGGTAACACTGCTCACATAGGGAAAATAAAAGGTTTTTAATGCAGGGCCATAGTCCAGCGGCAAGAGGTGGGCAACCAGGCTCCTCCAGTGGCCAGTGGCGAGGTTGGTTCCACCACATTTCTCCCCTTTACCAATCAGACTAACAGGGTATCTGACCTTCTGTCGGTCAGTGCCCTGGTTAGTCAAGCAACCCACCCACAGAACTCAATCAGCAGTACAGCCCAACCACAATAAAGGTTTACTACACTTGGGGTAATGAGTAGCTTGCCTTTGTCCAGGTGCTTCAACACTGCTGTGTGGGGTGCTGCTATTCCTGGTCGGTGGGTTGCTGAGTGGGCAGAGACCAGCTGCCCTGGTGCCAGCGCTATAACGGGAGTAGCCTGGTTGGAGCCCCGCTGAGGAGAAGGGGTAGTAGGCTGCCCTCTCTGGATCTGGTGCTGCTGGTGTAGGGGGAGACAGACTGTCTCCCCTTTGGGCAACCAGTCCTGCTGCTGGGGGACAGGACCGGCCATCCCTACCCCCTGTGGTTTGGGCACAGAGACTATGGTCCCATCTGCGCCAGTGTGGGGCTTATCATCTCCCCTTGGTGGGCTGGGCTACCGCTGTGGAGAGGGGGTAACAAGCTCCTCTCCCATACATACTTTCAGTCGCTAGGGAGAGGGATAACAAGCTCCTCTCCCTGACACTCTTTCTGCTGGTGGAGAGGGGAAAAGACATAAAATTACATCCTGTTACATTCATCACATAGAACATACACATTCTACCTATCCCCAGATAGCTTAGATCTGAGCGCACATTATTACCGGATGATGCTCAGATCACATGCTAACAGTTCAATCGCCATGGAGCCAAAATCTTTCCCATAGTCTTTCGGTATACGAATGGGCTCCATGGCTTAGCTATCTGAGGTAACACTGCTCACATAGGGAAAATAAAAGGTTTTTAATGCAGGACCATAGTCCAGTGGCAAGAGGTGGGCAACCAGGCTCCTCCATGTATTATATCTATATAATATATGTCTCTATATCATCTATATAATGTCATACTAAGTGTATTTTTATATTAATATGTACTTATATTAATATAGAAATAGACTTATAATTAAATTACACACGTATATATATAATATGTATAATAACTATATATATTGTGTATGTATATATAAATATTGATATATATATATATTATAAAATACAAATAATAAGTAAATTAAATTTAAATAAAAAAATTTAAAATAATAATAAAAAAAATCTATATGAAATTTTATTCTAACTGTATTTTGATATTAAAATATATATATATATATATATATAAATTGTATATATATCTATGTATATATAAATAAAAATAATGTGAAATATACATAAAATTACATAAATAATTATATAAATATACACGTAGACTTGAAATATATAAATATGCATATATATTTTAATTCTACATGCATATTTATGTAATATTTTTACATAATTAAGTAATTTTATTAATTGCAATTTGAGGGACCTGCCTGCCAACCCAGGCCGAAAGTCCAGAGAATTGAATTTGCTAGCACTGTATTTTACCCTGTAACTTTCTATGACACCCTAAAACCTGTACATGGGGGGTACCGTTTTACTCGGAAGACTTCGCTGAACACAAATATTAGTGATTCAAAACAGTAAAACATATCACAGCGATGATATTGTCAGTGAAAGTGACTTTTTTTTGCACTTTTCACACACAAACAGCACTTTTACTGATGATATAATTGTTGTGATACATTTCCTGTTTTGAAACACTAATATTTGTGTTCAGCAAAGCCTCCTGAGTATAACAGTATCCCCCATGTACAGATTTTATAGCGTTTTTGAGTTACAGGGTCAAATATATGGGTCAAATATTTTTACATTGAAAATGGCCAGGTTGGTTACGTTGCCTTTGAGAGCCCAGGAATGAGAATTACCCCCATGATAGCATACCATTTGCAAAATAAGACAACCCAAGGTATTGCAAATGGGGTATGTCCAGCCTTTTTTAGTAGCCACTTAGTCACAAACACTGGCCAAAGTTAGCGTTCAATTTAGTTTTTTACTTTTTTCACACACAAACAAATATGAACGCTAACTTTGGCCAGTAAATGAGAGAGCAGAAAATTACAGCTAAACACAAACACCACAAAAGTGTAAAAAGAGGCCTGGTCGCAAATGTACAACAGTCCAGTCCTTAAGGGGTTAAAGAGTGGGAGGCTGCGGCCGGTATTTGCTCACAGAAATTCATGGAGATCATTTGCAAGTAAGAAAAAGTGAAATTATTAGAAACTAATAAAAAATTAGAGCAAGAAATTGAGAAAATAAACCAATTTCAGTCCGATCCTTCTGTAAGAAATTGATATTCCAAACTGCAATATTGTATATAACTTTCTGTGTATGTGACTGGTTTCACAAGTGGGGGTCATTTCCTTGATAACAGTGTGATAAGGATCAAAGCTTTCAGTTGCATTTTACAACACCCAGCTAAAACAAAAGTTTACATCCCTCCAGTATTCCTTGCATGTTATCAGGAGATCAGAGTAATAGACATCTAGGTGTAACCATGCAAGTGTGTGTTTTCCCAAGCAGTCCAATCTACCAAGAAACCTAATCAACTGGTCTTTCACAATGTTACAGTATAGCTGGAGGGAAGAGATCAAAGGGAAAGACTTGTGTAAAGACAGAACTCTCTGGAGAAAGAGGGCGGGATAAACCACTTTTGGGAGGGAAAAGGGATTCTGGGACTTGTAGTTTATTACTCCAAGAATCAGTCTTTAAAAGGACAACAACCAAGGAAGGCTCTTTCTCTTTCTCTCTCTCTTTGGAGAGGACAACGCAGCAAGCAGGGCCATGGTGAACTAAGAGAGGCTGTCCCAGATTACCCAAGATGAAGGCACAAGGGGAAGACCTGCATTTAAATGTTTAAGTATTGCCTTTTATTATGTAGCTTTTGATTATGTACCGGATATAATGTATAATGTATATTGTGTATATCCTTTTAAAATCTAACAGTATCCTTAAGTGAATATTTACAATACATTTTATTATACACTTGTGTTTATGTCTTATTTGTCACACATTCCCTAAAAGAATATCCTTGTAAGAGGGTCATAATTTCTTACAAATTGGCGAGCCAGGTAGGAGGGATTTAGTGTGATTTATAAGCATATTCATAATTGTATAGATTGTATATTTACTTTTGGATACTGTTCAGATATTGTGTATAGATATTTCAGTGAATTGTGCGTTGTCAATGATGGAGAGTTTATTGAAAAAGATTGCTAAGGTGTCTAATCCAGAAGCAATAATTAAATGTATGGATGGTGCATTAGATCCGTGGCTTAATGCTCAGGATTATGTGGCTAAGGCAATTATTGAAAATAAATTGTCAAAATCTAGTGCTAAAATTGCCTTGATTTATGCTGCCTGTTGGATTGCGGAGAAGTATAAATCTTTAAATAGGCAAAAAGAGAAATTAGAGGCAGATGTTTTGAGTTTTAAGAATGAAGTGGAAGGTTTTAAACTGTCTGCGCAAAATGCTGCTGCTTTGTGTGTAGGTAGTCAGCAAATGCGTCTTGAAAATGAGGAATTGCACAGTTGTAATGAGCAGCTTGTAGAAAGGCTGAAATATGCAGAGGGTGCTATTAGAATCCTTGCTTCCAGCAGCCAGAAAGAGGCTGATCATTCTGTGTGCCTTAAAGAAATTGATGATTTAAAATGTAAACTAACAAAAAGAAATGGTTTTGCTGCTACTAAATATGGGCTGAAAACCAATTGTGGAGGTTTATGTACAACAAAGATGGAGGTGTTTCATAATAATTATAGTAATTGTGAGTGCAGTATTCCTGCTAAAATGGCACCAGTCTCTACAGAGCACATGGTGGATGCACAGGGAAATATACTACATAAAACTACTGTGACCCATTCCTTAAAACATACAGAGGTTATTGCACTGAGCAAAGAACTGGGATGTATACGCTTGGATGATGATCCAGTAGATGTTATGATAAAAATTGATCAATTTGAAAAAATCCACAGAAACTTAAATGAATTGGAGATTTTTGATGTCATAATTGCTAGTACAGACCAGTCACTAAGAGCAAGTCTGCCATATGAGATATTTATAGAACCTAGAACCAAGCAACAACTTTTCAAAGAGTTATTAAACGCACTCGGTCTAGAGGAAGTAAATCATCATTTTGCTTTTGGTAATTGTGCTCAGAAGAGAGGGGAGTCTGTTCAAGGGTTTGTAAATAGGTTATTTGTTTTATTCAAACTGACTGTTCCACCTGGAGCACATGCTGATCAGAATGAATATGCATATAAGAAAGCATTACTTAATAGGACACTGCCAGATATTCGAGAGTTAATTGGTTTAACTGTGTCCCCACAGGACACCTTTGTAAATATACGGAATTGCTTAAAAAGGGCTGAAGCAATTTTACTAAATCAAGAAAAAGTAAATAAAAGGCAAGAGTCATTGATACAAAGTCCCCAACCTCACAGATATATCAATCAGAGAAAGTCCCCACATATAAAATCCATTACATGTTTTAGGTGTGGTAGGATGGGACATATTGAAAAATTTTGTAAATCAGATGTGCATATTCATCATGAAAGGCCCATGTGTGATAGATGGACTCTGGGAAATAAAAATAATCACCCTAGGTGGAGATCCCAGAGAAAAGATAATAATGGTATCCCCCTCACAGGACCCTGGATTCCCTACCATGTGCTTAAAGCACAGAATACACAACTAAAGGCAGAAAATCTTTCTCTAACATGTGAACGAAATGAGTTCCTTGAAAAACTGGATTGTCTCAAGGCACAATTAAGTACATTAGAGGAGATGGTTAACACAAAGAATCTGATAACAGATACAGTTTTTCTTGAATGACCTATTCTAGTTGTGTGTTATTAACTTTCTCTTGAAGTTTGTTTTTTTAGAAAACTACGGAGATGATGCCAATTGAGAAGGAAGACAAATATAGACCTGTGAGAAGACCAACCATTTAACATGTTTATTTATTTCAGGAAAAATACAGTTCCAGTTTATAGAGGACCTTAATATGTAGTTTTATGATATTTTTTTTCATATTAAGGATAAGCCTCTAAATTCATTCATTACAGTCAGGTGGTCCAAATTCCAAATTATTTTTGTTTTTATTAGTTTAGCACACCTGCACTTCCAGCTATGTTTTATTTTTATTTTTGTATTTTGATACTGGATTACTAAATTTATATATTTCTAGATTAGATGAATTGTTGCTAACGTGAGGCTTATACGTTGATCACACTGGAGAGATGTGATAGTGTAACTGTCTGTTGGTTTACAACAGTAAATATTTTTGTTTTTGTCTTTTTTTTTTTCATTTGGTTACCAACATAACTAGCCTCAAGCCGATTTTTGATTTTAATCTTTGAAAGGCAACAGACCATTGTCAGTTTTCTTTTAGATTGCACGCTGCCAAACTTTGTATACAGTTCAATGCCCATAGGTGATGGTAGCATTCAATCTACTTTTTTCTCTCTCCATCTTCTTTGATTTTGTTGTTTTCTTATGCTTTTTATTGTATTTCACACTCTAAAGGGAATATAGGGAAAACAGATAATTGCATATATTTTACATTTCCTTAGGTCAAGGTTGGGTGAACAAAAGAATGATAATGGTTATTCTTTGTTTGTTTTTGTTTTAATTTATACTCTCAAGGTGGGGTACAGCGTATAGACAAATTAGACAATTTTGTATATTTTATATTGTTTTGAGTCAAGGTGGGGTGAGCGACAATATATGATTTTGCATTTTCTATTTGCTCTATTTGGTTTTCCACAAGGGGTTAAATATTTATGGTTTTAGTAAGGTTATAGTAAATTATTTCATACTGTTATGAGGACGTATCCCTTATTACACATTAATACTGGTTGCATTTTGCTCACATTTGTGTTTACAATGTTTTAGATGACCACTTGTGAATCCAGACGGTAATACTGAGACAAGGATGATAATCAAACCACTAGTGATTTGCATAATGTAACACTGCGCACTTTCTATGCTAAGAATCTTTTAATTTCCGGAAGCCAAGGGCCTATCGAAAACTTATTAAACATCCTCAAGGGCTCAAACACAAACCCACTCCAGCTATACAACTTTTAATAAACTCCCAATAAACGTGCACAAACACCTTCACTCAGATTCCCACTCCAAACAATAAACTATGTTTCTCCCTTGTGTGGTCTCTTTAATACACTATGTAAGTGAACAGCAAATTAACTGCTGTTAGTGTGAAAATACACCAGGTGTCATGGTGGGCAGAGGTCAGAGGCCTAATAGCCCAAAGTAAGCAAGGCCAGGGTTAAAGGAACAGTGTGGTGGAAGCAGTGCTGGTGGCACAGGTAACTGAGCGTGATGGGAGTGAAATCTAATGGTTGCAGTGATGCTGAGCCTATGAGGGTAAGGAAAGGTTACGGATATGGCTGAAGGAGTTCAAATTAATGTTGAAAAATTATAACTGTGAGTGCCTCAATGATTTGGCTAAATTATGCCTTGCAGTACCCTAAATTATAAATATATGTGGTTGTCAAGTCATTTGTGTCTCAGTAAAACACATAATCATTTAAAACACACTTAATAAAGATACTGTATTTATTTGAGAGGGCTCATTTTCTTGTTGAGTCATTCGCCCTCTAGGTGGGGACTGTAAGAAATTGATATTCCAAACTGCAATATTGTATATAACTTTCTGTGTATGTGACTGGTTTCACAAGTTGGGGGTCATTTACTTGATAACAGAGTGATAAGGATCAAAGCTTTCAGTTGCATTTTACAACACCCAGCTAAAACAAAAGCTTACATCCCTCCAGTATTCCTTGCATGTTATCAGGAGATCAGAGTAATAGACATCTAGGTGTAACCATGGAAGTGTGTGTTTTCCCAAGCAGTCTAACCCACCCAGAAACCAACCCTAACTGGTCACTTCTTTCAGAACATTACAGTATAGCTGGAGGGAAGAGATCAAAAAGACTTGTGTAAAGACAGAACTCTCTGGAGAAAGAGGGTGGGATAAACCACTTTTGGGAGGGAAAGGGATTCTGGGACTTGTAGTTTATTACTCCAAGAATCAGTCTTTAAAAGGACAACAACCAAGGAAGGCTCTCTCTCTTTCTCTCTCTCTTTGGAGAGGACAACGCAGCAAGCAGGGCCATGGTGAACTGAGAGAGGCTGTCCCAGATTACCCAAGATGAAGGCGCAAGGGGAAGACCTGCATTTAAATGTTTAAGTATTGCCTTTTTATTATGTAGCTTTTGATTATGTACCAGATATAATGTATAATGTATATTGTGTATATCCTTTTAAAATCTAACAGTATCCTTAAATGAATATTTACAATACATTTTATTATACACTTGTGTTTATGTCTTATTTGTCACACATTCCCTAAAAGAATATCCTTGTAAGAGGGTCATAATTTCTTACAGGAGAATAGACATTTGTTGTATTCTATCACCCAAAATATTAATAACCAAATTATATCACCCAAAATATTAATAACTGTGTACATGAAATGTTGGTAGAACACATTAAATGACAATAATAAAACAACTGCATGCACAGAAAATGAACAGTGGCAAACTATAGGTATAAATGGTAACAATGCTATAGTAACAAATGTTTATATGGTAACAATGTAAGAATAAATTAAGTGGAGTATCTTCCAAGATTCAGTCAGTATCTGGAGCTTGATTAAAATTGCTGGGACATTTAAATGGGGAGATTATTGTTGTTTCTGGGAGTGTGAGGTGAGGCCTGGAGCCTGATGAAAGTTGCTGGGAAATATAAAATGGGGGGATTCAGTATTATGTGTAGGTATGGGTGTCTATAAGTGTTATCCAGGTAAATGTAAATATTTGCTCTTGCGGGTAACTGAAA